AAAGTAATTTCTCCTTAGGAGAAGTTTGCTGTACGAATGGATTTCTTCTAAGTCTTTCAATCGCTGGTCAAGACTTCCACCACCCCGCACGGCTTCGTGTCATTTCTTACAATATTGCACCTCTGCATCTTAGATTTTCTCCATCTTCTCTTTCTTCACTATTTAGACTAAACTGTTAATGAAATCCACTAACCTTCGCTCCATAAGCCCAAACCATCATGCTTCGCATCTGATCAGATTTGTACTGCTGAAGCTATCTATGGAGTGCCCTTATATAGACGATTCGAATGTAACTCCATAATGATATCAGAAGACTATCCGAACCTTCGCATTATTACTTTTTTCCAATGTTGTTCATGCCTTTCCAATAGAGCCCAAGATTCAATCCCATAAAACATTTCTGGTCTGACTGTTGTAATAATAACCGTTTTCTTTAGCAAATCAACATTCTGTCGCCATAGAGCAATCATCCAGCTCCCTCAATAGGAGCCAAGCATGTTCGAAGATTTTCGTTCACTGCCAGCTTTTCAATTCTAAATTGGTCGTTTAGCTTCATGAGATTAAGACACTGAAATACTCGGCTTCCAAGTAGTAAGCAGCAGGTATTCCGATCTCATCATATCAGCGCTGAATCATCCCTTCTTGGTAAAGCAGTAGCCATCGACTATCCTTATTCTTGCTTAGAAGACATTCTTTTCTTAAGAAATATTCTCTAGACTTCCTATTTCATTTTCACGTCATCTAACTTTCGGTAGCAGTATAACAGATTCACGTACATGTAACTTTCACCTGCATCCTGCAGATTTTCAGTTAGAGTACCTGCCACACGTGAAAACAGGAATGGATATAATAGGTACCCTTGACAGACTCTCACCTGAAAACGGATTTAGTTTACTTAGCCAGCGAACTTTATTGTTGTAGAACCTTCAGGCAGATCTTGATGAGTCGAACACAATCTTCTTGAATGCTCATCTTCCACTTGCTACACAACTTTGATTTATTTAAGAATTGCGTCGTGTATCGATGAAAGGTAAAGAATCAGGGAACAAAAGCATGTTCAGAATGCATATCTTCAAAGCAGTGAACAGGTTTGAAATTATTCTATAGCCTAGATGTGCATCCTTTATGATGTTGGTTATTTCATTGTTCTTACTGAAGGTAACGAATCTTACCTTCTTAAAGAAGCATATAATCAATTTAAACCTCCTTTTCTCACTCCTTTGTACTTTAAGGATCGAAACAGGGGCCATGTTAATGTTTAAGTCTGTCGATTCATGCCGATGTGGGATGAAAAATACTTCGAAAGAAAATTCAGAAGCCTTAGACGACCCATGTTAGTAAGCAGTGCATTAAAACAGACTGACGATGCTACCCTCTAACGTTTTTGATTATCACCGTAACGTTATTGGCACAATTGCATACATTGTCCCTTGAGAGCGACCTTAAAACAACCTATGCGATGCGCAAGCTGAGCTAGTGCAAAATTTTAATGTTCACAAAGCTATAGTCTCCTGATGCCGGTACATCAACCCCAACCTACCTTCGAATGGATTATCGCCAGGGTGTCGATCCAAACACGCCAACCGCCGAATTCCAATTTTATGGCGTGATGCAGCAAAATGCAAAACAACTGATAAACCAAGTTCATGATCAACGTTTCGTTATCATCGGTAGGATAAATGGTCGTCAGCGAAATCAACCATACCTGCCACACTGACATCTGCAGGATGATTCTGCAAAGAACAAAAGTGAATGAATGATCAGACCAAGAGAACCTCATGTTAACTGAATTTAACCTCTATATGGAGTATCTGCTTTAAGAAAAACTCTGAGGGCACAGAAGTACCTTCCTTGTTAAAATGAAAACGTACGCAAAGAATTTCAGTGACGTTGACAATTATGTAACAGGCGTTGCTTAAATCTACTTTGTTCATTGATCGGTGTTGCACTCCATGTCATTGCCGTCAGCCAGGACTGATTTATCTAATTAATGTTATCTCCTCGCACAGAGCTCCAGTCACTATGGCACGTCGTCTCGTTTCGTTCCCACATAGTGGTACCGGCTTATCTGCCTTAAAATGGTGAAACGTGAGTAACTCATTGGGCATTCGAACATTCGAATGCTACACTGTCGTGGCTATTCATTCCTTAGAGGAAAGGTATTACTTCTTCTGTTACCTTGGGGGTGATTTGAGTTCTTTGCATGACTACATAACGATGTTAGCGAGCAAGAGCAGTACACTAACGGCAAACTAAAGTATGGCAAGAACCAGAAAAGTCGGTAGGAACCTAGTCTGTTGTGCAACACAGCTCTTAGAATAATGTAGCTTTACGACAAAAATAAATCGAATACTGGCAAAGCAGACAAAGAAGCTGCGGTTGGCTAGCAAACCCCTACGCATGTTGTTGGTTGACAACGACTAATGTCATTTAGATTCAGAGCTACGATATGCCAACAAGAACAACAATTTTTAGAACCATATTTTCAGTTACGATAATATAAGTGTGAAAGCCTGTAGCTTCATTTCCTTAAGCCATAAATGAAACTTACTGAATTTTCATTCAGCCTAAGCCAGGGGAACCACCATCCCTGTTCAAACGTAAGATGTTATGATGAAAACCACCGCCATGCATTCTTTCAGGACCACCATGGGTGGTGGTCTGATTTAATGCTTAGTTCATTTACAATTTAATTTTTAAAACAATACCGATGAAATGCTTCGCCTTGTTTATGCGTTTTAACTACTACTTATACCATCTATTCATAAATATGCAAACTGACTGATTTATGTAGCTACATTTGCGACAACAGACAGATGGCCTTAGCACTGGGAAACAGAGCACAGTTAATCATCAGACAGTAGAAACTGACCTGGAATTGTGCACAACTGCACCTGGAACACTTACTGCAAGACGAGTGAACAAAGGTTTCAAAAGTCATTTACGCGGATTCTTCGTTGTTTAAAGTGACTTTTGCTCATTTTAAGTACGATGCTTAATTTGCTATCTGACTACGTTTATCGCAAATATCGTTAATCGGCAAATAAGTTTTGTTGTGTTCAACTTTGAAAATAAATCTGGACTAAATGTAAATCGGAATCAATGTACATTCTACGTTAATGTATTTTTATTTTTACATTTCATAATTATAATGTCAGTTAATAGGCAGTTTTGACATTTCTTGTATTTCGAATTAACCAGGATTATACTATAATCATTCACAAAAGAATCTTCACTGGCATCAGGCTCTCTTGAGTCATGTTAGAGCTTATAGCTCGTCCTTTATGGAAGCAAGACCTTTCAAGATCCTCTCGTTGTCACATGGAAGTTTCATTTCTAGAAGGTTTAATAATTATACATGTTTTACGGCATATAAATTTCATTATATAGAGCAATAATCCATTGCACAATGCAGCTGCAACGCCAGTTCAGCGAGCAGTTTGGCAGCTTTCAGGTTCAGTTGTGGATCAACTAACATCCAGAGCTATAGTGCTGAATGTTCCATAAAAATTTTGGCAAGAAAAGTGAAAAGTTGGCTGCGCATGGATGTCTTTTTGGTTTATTTGTGAAATCTCATCGAAGGATAAATAGATCGCTTCAAACATGCGTTAGTTCAAGTTATTTACTTTACGCTAGAATTAAATGAGAAATTTGTATATTGTTTATGCGAATTATCAGCAGTAGACTTACCGACCATTTTATTAGTAACGTCAACAGGGAAATATGACCCGGGACACGAATCAAAACCTGTTTCCAAAGGTTTTCAAACAATATAGTCACGATAATTTTGTCACCTGCCCCAAAGGGAATGAAAATCCATTTCCTTTACGATAAACTCTTCCCACAGAATATCGAGTTCACTGTTGAAATAAAAAAATAACTCTAGCTGACATTTTAATTGTCAACAGGTAATTGTTACAAAACTAAAATTTATCGTCAACCTACTAACACTGACAAATATTTTAACTTTAGCTGGCATAATCATTCATTTAAATAACAAAAAGACCTGTAATTAAAGCTTTAATGGGCAGAGCTCTTAAACTCTATAGTGATATATTTCTTAAAGAAGAAATAAAACAATAAAGTAACCTTATACGATAAAATGATCATCGTGTTAAATTTAATATTAGAAATCATAGAGTAACGCAATTTAAATTAAGATGTGACATCAATAATGTCTAAAGCAATGCATTAAATGATGAACCTCAATTAATTCCGTCTAATCATAAGAACTTTAGTGAATGGTTACAACGTTTTCTTAATACAAAATATAATATTAAAGTAGTGTATAAAAGCTGTGATATAATTAACACAATTAAGAATAACAACTCGGTATGCTGGGTTTACAAATTACCACGTAACTGCGGAAAATATAAGATTAGGCTTGTCGCGTCTGTTTCGAAAAAACTACTTAACCACCAGTACCGACCAAAAGCAAAAGCTCGCCTTCTGGCTCCAAAACTTACAACTGACCAAAGACCAAAGAAACGTCGAAAACCAACCCACTTTACCTTGATTAAGACCCGTCAGACACGAACCAAATCGTCGGTACTGGCTAATGACACTACTGATCATACTGTATCCGCTGTATGTCAATAAATGATTTTTACGCTATTTTCAAAAAACGCCATGCCCCCTCTTTCACAACCACACCTTCGATTTTCCCTGCTGTTTGTGCACATGTGGATCAGATCAGAGAGGAACACTTTCTTGACCTCGAACATTTCACGCGTAGGACGAGACTGACTGATCAAATTGGCGATTACCTTCAGCACCACTAAAATAAATGCAAGGTCATTAAGAGTGGTCAATAGTTGATCGTCATTCGACTGACGTAACTAGTCACTTACAAGGATTTTCGAACCTGTAACTCATTTCTGGTTCAGAATGCCTTCCGTTCAAGATTTCCAGCGACATATTTTCGACCAAAATCTTGAAAACGAAAAGTAAATTGCAAAATGAATATCTACGGAGCTGCTACGCTTACCTCGAACAGCACATTGTACGTGACGACACTGATCGAATCGACATTCAACAGCAACCTATCTGTGAGCAAAGTATACAGATTGTATGTGGACATAACGTCCTGTTTTCTTCTATATCAAAAAAATGTTAACCCAAACCGACAAATGATTAAAAACGTCGTTACTTGGTGGTACATTTGCAGAGAAAAAAGCCCAGCAGCTTCAAAGCTGATAAACGGACCATCTCGCTTTCAGAAGCCAGCATTTTGAAAATTACGCTAGAAACAGACGAATTGTCTAATGGAATAAAAAACAAATTTCGCATAAAATCACTGATAAACCGAAGCATAGCGAAGCCACTTGACAAACTCAGAACTGACTCCAGTCACGATTAATGAGCTGCTAACCAGTTTTAGCCGTGTAATACCAAACTAGAGAATAAGTTGAACGCTTACTTCGTGTTTAACCTATTTAGTCCTCCCAAGAGGACAGAAGGACCATTTACTTTCGCAGTTCCTCCAACTGACTGAACAAGTCCAGACAGTGATATGTTAAGACCAGTTTCGAAATGCCTAGCTTTCAGCACAGTATCACCTAGCAAGGCTCATGAATGAGCAGTGCATGTTGCTTGTTCAAGTATGCCGACGACGTCTTGGGGCATATTTCTTTGAAGCCGCCTGAAAACTAGGATAAACATGGGAACGGCATTTCTGCTCAATATCTGTTTCTTCACGATACAAAGCGTGATTACGCCGGAAACGAACGAAGTGATCGCTTGGCGAGCAACATTACGAACCAGTTGATTCTAAATACGAACTCCTTACATGTAACCCTGAACGTCGCAATGTAGGCACAAGGCATGCAGTAATTTCGAGTGGCATTAACAGTTGGTCTTTCATTACAACAGCATATCTAGTCTGCAGGACTGAAGAAACTGCGCGCATCAGAAGAGACAATCAAGAGTTTCATCTCCTCATGTGGCCGTATTACATGGCTAAACCACAATTAAAACCTGGAGGCATCGCCGTTTAGGATTCAGTCCGTGCAACATGCGTCATTGGCTGAGGGCGGTCAACAGCAACAACACTCATGACGCTGATACTGGAAGGAAGATACTAACCCAGAAAGAACAGTGGCTTGTGAAAATAAATAAATAAATGAATGGATATGTTGAGTTGACTGAGAAATTCAGAGTGCATGAATTAATCTACTGAGTGAGTAATAAACGAGCGAGTGACGCAACGATTAAC